AGCCCAGCAGGTCAAGGCTGTGGTGGCCAGGAACATGCCACTGCACTCCAGTCTGGGCGACAGAGTGAGACTCCAACTAAAAAAAAAAAAAAAAAATGAATTGGCAACATTTATCTTCTTAAAAATTGTATCTTTTTTTATTAGAGAATATAAAGAAGGGAAAAAGTAGTCCACTGAAGCCCTTCTCCTCATGACTGAGCTTTCACAGATGCCTCGTCCTGGTCAAACTTGTTTCATTTATTCTCCCTTGCATCTCTTCCTACCAGTATTTTGAAATGAATTGCTACATTCATTTTATTTGTAGATATTCCAAAGATGAGGGCTCTTTTAAAAGACACATCACAATATATCACACTAAATAAAAATTAGCCATTTTTTAAATACTCAGGTATCTATTATGTCCAGAGTTCCCTAAGTGTCTGCCTGCCTGCATCTTTCTCTATTTTTTTAATAGTTCATACTGGACTCTAAATGAGAGCCATTCATTGCAGTTGGTAGAAATGTCTCTTAAATCTCTTTACAACCCCCACTCCCCACGTCCCTACTAGTATATGCAGTAAAGAAACTGAATGTGAGCTGGGCTCAGTGGCTCAGCCTGTAATCCCGCGCCTTTGGGAGGCTGAGATGAGTGGATTGCCTGAGCCCGCGGGTTCTAGACCCATCTGAGCAGTAAGACCTCATCTCTACAATAAATCAAAAAAAATTAGCCAGGCGTGGTAGTGCACGCCTGTAGTTCCAGCTACCCAAATTCTACAGCTGAAATTTGTGCTTTTCTTGAAAAAGGATCTTGGCCAGGTGCGGTGGCTCACGCCTATAATCCCAGCACTTTGGGAGGCTGAGGTGAGAGGATTGCCTGAGCCCATGGGTTCAAGACCAGCCTGGGCAACTTGGTGAGCCCTCATCTCTACAATAAATCAAGAAAAATTAGCCAGACGTGATGGCATATGCCTGTAGTTCCAGCTACTTGGAAGGCTGAGGCAGAAGGATCCCCTGAGCCCAGCAGATCAAGGCCACAGTGGCCGGGAGTGTGCCACTGCCCTCCAGCCTGGGTGACAGAGTGAGACTCCAACTCAAAAAAAAAAAAAGAAACTGAATGTGTGTCCTTTAGGGTGTCCCACAGGTTGAATTTGGCAGATTCCATCTTTATGTATCATTAAGCTTGTTACCTTGTCCTTTGTGTTTCTTGAGATGAGTGGTTCAATTTAGAGGTTTAATTACCGCCCGGTTTGGTAGCCTGTCTTCCACAAGAATGCTTCATGGGCAGTGGTATGTACTTCTACCAGGAGGCTCATGTGTCTCTCTTAATGATAATTAGCAACCACTGGCTGTTTCTTAGATCCATTGTTCTATGAGGAATTTCAAGGTGATGATATTCTAATTCCATCATCTCTTCATTCATTGAACAAGTAAATTTAGCTTCCCCCTAAAACACATAGGAAAGGCAAGGTAGATGCTTGCTGCTTCCTTCCCTCTATTTGCCAGTTTTCAAAATGTTGACTTGGTTTCAAATACCTTCCAGTGGGTCCCCAGTGGATTTAAGATTATTTGTTAATCAATTTTAATCAATTTTATTCTTTTTTGAATTAGAGTCTCACTCTGTTGCCCAGGCTGGAGTGCAGTGGCGTGCTTATGGTTACCCTTCTGTCTCAGCCTTCCAACTAGCTGGAACTATAGGCATGTGCCACCATACCCAGCTTATTTTTTAACTTATGTAGAGATGAGGTCTCACCAAGTTTCCCAGGCTGGTCTCGAACCTCTATGCTCAGGTAATCCTCTCGTCTTGGCCTACCAAAAGTGCTGGGATTATGGGCGTGAGCCACCATGCCTGGTGAATTTTAGTCAGTTCTTAATGATTGTTAAATGATCCATTTTGAGCCAGTGGGGGCATCTTCTTGCTAGCTTTGTCATTTTGACTTAATCCCAGTGGTCTTTAGTAGGTCCTTTTTATCCAGATACAACATGATTTTAATGTCTCACCATGAACATTTCTATCCTTAGATCTGAAGTTACACTTTCCTCAATTGAGCCCTTCCTTGTTCTAGTGAGAAGTAGCATTTCCTTAGACTGGGTGCCCAGGTATTCATTCTCTGTGGGTTGGCTACTGGTTCTAGGCCTTTTTAGTAGACAGGACTAGGACATTGGCTCTTTTCTTTTTAAAGATAGAATATATTGTAAATTCATACTGACATTTTTAATTCAAATTCAGATTTTTATATTAGTCTTGTTTTTTCATCTGTATCTTTATTTTTCTCCTGCGCCTCAAATTTCAGTTCAAAAAAATTATTTATTTATTTATTTATTTTTGGAGAAGGGGTCTTGTTCTGTCACCCAGGCTGAAGTGCAGTGGCACAGTCATAGCACACTGTCTCCTCAAACTCCTGGGCTTAAGTAATCCTCCCACCTCAGCCTCCCAAGTAGCTGGGACTATAGGTGCATGCCACTGTGCCTAGCTAATTAAAAAGATTTTTTAATTTTTTTAATTGCAGAGATGAGGATCTCACTTTGTTACCTAGGCTGATCTCAAACTCCTGGCCTCAAGCAATCCTTCCACCTTGGCCTCCCAAAGTGCAGGGATTATAGGCATCAAACTATCACACCCGGCCTCAAATCCTATTTTTGTTGATACCAACATAACTATTCATTTGCTTCAATCCCACAATACATATATACTAGCTCAGAATAACAATACACTGCTACAAACAATATGATTATTGAAAAATGTTTTCTATTACATTTTGTTTTCCCCCTTAGACTATGTCCCACCAGGGCTGCATAGGCAAATTAGTATGTTTTGGAGTTACTTGAAACTGTTCCTAGAATGGAGGTGCATTTTTAAAATTTGTTCTAGAGTTTTTGTTAGATTGCTGTGGTTTAAACTTCTTGCTTCTATTCCCTTTCCCCTTTTAGATCAATGGTAGCATAATATGCATGCTTTTGCCACCGTTCTTTCTTCTTTTGACGATATCTTCTGTGTTCCTTCCTAGCAGTATGTAGAATGCCTTCTCATTCCACTCTGAGGAGGTCATTTCACCAGCCCTCCATGTGGGAATATAGCAGTTTGTTCTTCAAATCCCTATTGGTGGGCATAAGGTTTGCTTCCAGTCATTTGCTGTTACAAGTAATGTTGTGGTGAAGAGCCTGTACATATAGATTTTATGGTTTTGCCAGTGTACCTTTGGGCTGTAATGGAGGGCTGGCTTAGAGGGCTAGTATAAATTTTGAGGACATTATCACATTCCCCAACATAGAGGTTGTACCAATTTGTCTTCACACAGGTTTTTTTTTCCCCCATTGCTTTGTATTTGTCAAATTTTGGGATCTATGTCAATATGATAGGTGGGAAATTGTATCTGTCACTAATTTGCATTTTTGTTATGCAAATTAATAACAGTTCCTATGATTGAGATATTTGCATTTTTTCTGTAAACTGTCTAATTATATTTCTAGATTGTTTTTCTCTGAAGAGGTCTGTCCTACTCCCCAGTAGTAGTATTTTTTATTAATTCAACAAACAGCCATTGGAGAGCTACTATATCAAGCACTGTACTTGGTGCTGGGAAAGCAGAGCCTCAGTACTGAAGTCAAAGACCTTTGATACCAGTACCTATTGTGTTTTAATTTTATCCCACAATTTTCACTATAATAAGTAGTACTGATTGTGGCACCAGTTCAGAATTATAGAAGTCAATACAAAGTCAAAAAAGAGCATCCTTGTTTGGAGAAAATCAGAGCCTGATGCACACCTAGAGGTGCCGAAGACAACCTGGAAAACAGAGGGTGCCAACAGCTGGCCTGAGAGCCATGGTGTTGTCTGGCCTTCTGATGTTGTTCTTTGCCATGTAGTAATTTTAAAAACTGTACTAACTGCTGGGCACAGTGGCTCACGCCCATAATCCTAGCACTTTGGGAGGACAGGGATTCTCCCTGAGGTTCAAGACTAGACTGGGCAACTTGGTGAGACTGCGTCTCTGCAATAAATCAAAAAATTAACCAGGTGTGGTGGCACGCACCTGTAGTTCCAGCTGCTTGGAAGACTGAGGCAGAAGACTCATTCCTGAGCCCAGTAGGTCGAGGCTGCAGTGGCCATGAGCATGCCATTGCACTCCAACATGGTGACAGTGAGATTCTGACTCGACCCCTCCCCCCAAAATGGAAATAGCCAACATTTAAAACTATGAGCTTTCTTGTAAAAGTGAAGGCTCCTGGAGTTGGGGAAAAGCTGGAGAATGTACAAACTCTGGTTCCTGTTTCTCGGTGGCAGCATTCCTAGGATGGGGAAGCTCTGTCTCCATTTTACCAGGGAACATTTCACTCCTTAGCACATAGTACCTGGTTGTCTATTACGGGATCCCCTGCCACATGTGGCTGCCCAGCACTTTAAGGGTGGCCAGTCCCAACTGCGTTACGGCAATTTGTTTAATGTGGCTACTAGAGTATTTAAAATTAAATATGTGGCTCTCATTCTATCTCTGTTGGACAGCACTGCCTTATACCCTGCCTGCTTTGTTCACTCTTGTTTTTTTTTTCCCCTGTATACTCTGGAGCTTTTAAACTCCATATTTTAGTTTAAAATATCAGACTAATACATCCATGTTCAGCATTTGACAAGAATGTGTGCCTGTGTCTCCCCCAGTATTTGACTTTTCCTGGGTCTGTGAGGGTTATGGTAGGCAAGGCGCCTGCTTATTCTTGCTCTGCCCAGTAGCGTGAGAATGAGAAAATGCCAGAGGTATTTGAATCTCATGACTTAGAAACTTGGTTAGTAGGCATGGTTGTTCAAATATATTTTAAAAGTTCTTTTGATCGAGGTACACTTTATATCCAGTGAATCGTTCATGTCTTATGTGTCCGATTCTCAGCGAGGCACAGAGCGTTTCTGTCATTGCTGAAAGTTCCCTCCTGCCCTTCACAAGCAGTTGCCTCCTTCCTGAAGCAATCCCTGCTTTGCTTCCTGTCACCATGGATCAGTTCAACTATGTTTTGAAAGTTAACTTTACTGCATAGTCTTTTTTTTGATGCTGATCTTGACTTGTTGCTGTTGACTCTCTTGAGAGTAATATGAATCAAATAGGATAGTTCACTTAATGTTTTAGCAAATATCCTTAGGTGAGGTTTCATTATTTACACGTGTCTTCTTTGTAAACTCATTATCTTGGAAAGAGTTGTGTGTTTCTCTTCTTTATCAAGTACTGTTACCTCCCAAGATATTTTTTGTTTTGGTTTATTTTATTCACACGTGTCCATTTCTGTTTTACTTGTTAGATCACGCTGGCACTACTTTACTTTGACACCATTTGCTGCTCCTTAAATAGAGATTAAGCAGTCGATTGTGAAATCTTCTATGGTGAAATGATCCTGACATGTGGTATAGGTCAGATTAAATGACTCACAATTTTGCTGTTATTTTTCTGCTAGCCAAAGAAAGAAACTCAGTAAATCATTGCATCTGTTCCTAAGGACTGCCTACTGTGACAGCTTTGCATAATATGCCTTGATTGTGATTTCTTCATCCCTGTTTTACAGGCCAAGCTTCCAGATTTGCAGCCATTTCCTTCTCCAGATGGTGATACAGTGACCCAGCATGAGGAACTGGTCTGGATGCCTGGAGTTAATGACTGTGACCTCCTTATGTACTTGAGGGCAGCAAGGTAATGGGAACCTACCCCCTCCTGCTTTCTGAATTAGGCATCTGAATCGATTAGTAAGCAGTCAACTTTTTCTTTCCTCTGAGAGTTTATTTTTATATTGGGCAGTCTCTGAATTTCAGTTTTGTTACACCCTGTGTAATCAGGACCCTTGCCCTTCTCACTAGAGAAAAATAATTAATCATAGTAAAGTCATTTTTTTCTTCTTGGTGTTTGCCCTGAAATCAGATTTTGGAGTTCTTCAGGAAGAAAACAGCTTAAGCCACACATGCTGCTATTATTATTTTCAGTTGGAGTCTTACTCTGTCACCTAGGCTGGAGTGCAATGGCACTCTCACAGCCACCCTAGCAATAACCTGCTGGGCTCAGGCGATCCTTCTGCCTCAGCCTTCCAAGTAACTGGAACTACAGGCATGTGTTACCATGCCGAGCTAATTTTTTTTTCTCTTTTAGTTATTGTTGAGATGAGGTCTTGCCAAGTTGCCCAGGCTGTTCTTGACCTGGAGACTCAAGCAATCCTCTCACCTTGCCCTCCCAAAGTACTGGGATTACAGGCTTGAGCCACTGTGCCCGGCCATACGTGCAATTGTTAACACTCTCAATCCAGTTGAGTAATTGAGTTGTTCAACCCATTTTAAATTACCATTACAGATTTTTTGGGCTATTCTTTAGTGCTTGACCTGAACTTGACATTTGTGTGGTTTACCTACATTAGAACATTGACCTGCAATGGCCCCATAGAACTTGCTAGCATACAAATGCCTGGAATGCACAGGAGAGGTTTAAGTTTATCCCCACATGTCATAGAACAGGCAGACAGCCTTCCTCTGTGTGCAGTGATTCTGGGACTCACCACAGCATCAGCGGTATACAGCAAATGCACTGTACCAGTAGCCAGGCACAGTGGCCACAGAGAATTGGTTTGAAGATGGGGATAGGCATGAAGTGTGTGCGTGCGCATGCATGCGCACACACACGTGTCCTTACATGCATACAAAGAGATATGGAAGCTTCCCACAGGAAGAGTTGAAATAATGAGGTCTCCAGGTTGAGTTAGATTGTCATTCCCCTCGTGAACAAGCCTTGCTTCTATAATAAGAAAATATAAAGTAAATGATAAAAGAATGAATGACAAAAAACCTGGAATTTTTCAGCTTAAATTTAAGATTTTCAACTGGGCGTGTTGGCGCACACCTGTGTAGTCCCAGCTACTCAAGAGGCCAAGACAGGAGGATTGCTTGAGCCTAGGAGTTCAAGGCTGCAGTGAGCTATGATCATGCACACCAGCCTGGGCAACAGAGTGAGACCCCTTTTCTAGGGGAAAAAATACAAAGCACGGATCAAGTCATCGGAATTTTAACTTTGACTATTTTCTAATCAGTGGTGCTGTGCATGGCAGTTTTCAGTAGAGATGAGAATATGTGGTGGAATGAATGACTACTAAGAGGTTTTTAAATATGATTTTTAACTTTTTTTGCAGGGGGGAGGAGAGGGGTCAGAGTCTTAACTCTGTTGCCCAGGCTGGAGTACAGTGGCACGATCATGGCTCACCACAGCCTCAACCTCCTGGGCTCAGGCAATTCTTCTGCCTCAGCCTCCTGAGTAGTGGGGACTACAGGCTCTCGCTACTACACCTGACTGTTTTTTTATTTTTTTATTTTTTGTTGTAGAGATGAGGTCTGGCTGTGTTACCTAGGCTGATTTGAACTCCTGGGCTCAAGTGATCCTTCCACCTTGGCCTTCCAAAGTGCTGGGATTATAGGTGTGAGTCACTGTGCCTGGTTAATTTTTCACTTTTAATTCACCTAAAGGTTGTTGATATATAGAGTGAGAGGGATTGCGTAAAGTTTCAGAGGACTTAATTTCACATGTTTTCTGGAGACTTCTTTCAAAAGATTGTTATCTAGCAGAGCACAGTGGCAGATAGATTTTGATTATTCATGCGTTCACATCTAAAATCTTAGTACTAACAAAGCACAGGAAGAAACAACACAAATGGGCCCAACTTAAAGTAATGTTTTTCTTTCTGAGTGAGTTAAGGGTTACCGGTAGAGTACTTTTTGTGTGTTTACAAGAGCAGAGGCCAACACTGAGAACTCTGACTTTTCACACATGTAGAAATGGAATTTGGTCTGGGCTGAAAATGTACTCTGAAAATTGAGGGATAAGATATCTGTACCGGTATTTTGATGTACTGATGAAGAAAACATACTTCCTTTATTCTGAAGGAGCATGGCGGCATTTGCGGGAATGTGTGATGGAGGCTCCACAGAGGATGGCTGTGTTGCAGCCTCGCGGGATGACACCACTCTCAATGCGCTGAACACAGTAAGTCCTTTGAAGTCACCTGGGGTGGGAGGATGTCTCGTGCTCCCTGGACTGGCTGTGGGGAATGTGTGATGGGCATGGAGCATGAGGTAGCCCGCCTGCTCAGGAGTGTGCTCAGTGGTATGGGGCTGGATGTGAAAGGTGAGCTGTAGTCTTGGTCACTGAGTGCTGTGAGTGGCATGGCGCCCTCAGCTTCATTTCCTTGTCTGTGTTTGTGCTGCAGGATTGTGAGGAGCCTCAAATGAGATCCCAGTCACAGCAGCTGATAGTTACTGGGATCTCACAAAGCCAGTCCTGTGCATAGATGATCTCATTCAATCCTCCCAGCATCCTCCCAAGTGGGTTCTGTTATTATCACCATTTTAGGCACAAGGAAATCAATTTAGAAGGGAGTGAGTCACAATTGAGGACCATCCCTTCCAGGCTGGAATCCAGAAGCCACGCTTTTAACCCCCTTCACTATGTCTGAGACTGTGTATTTCAATGTGCTTGAAGGGACAGAGAAGAAACTAGAATTTTTTGAACAAACTGTTGTTTATAGAGTTTACTTTGGAACCATGTTAATATTTGCATGATTATATAAAAAATTAAGTGTTAAAAACGATAGTTTCTAAAAAGTAAAATGAAACAAGCAAGCCTAATATTATGGAATCGGTTGTATGACATATCACCATAGTTACTCATTTGCTTTAATTTTGTAATATACACACAACAGCTCAGAGTAGCAGCACTCACACTGATACAAACATTATGATTACTGAAGTTAGCTTACTTATTTTATTTTATTTTTTTGGACACTTTTTAGCCTTAAGCTATTTCCAAAAGAGGTGTGTGGGAAATTAATGTATTTTAAAGCTACATTATAACTCTTTTCTGTGTGGTTACTAATGTAAAATAATCAACTCTGAAGAGGTAATCATGAATCTTTATGGAATCAATATCTGATATTTCGATAATGAGTTTACATAGCTATGTCTGCTTCCATAAACTGTTGAGCATGAGGCTGAGCAACTCTTCTAATATTACATCTAATTTCACCATCTTTTTCTTTCTTGAGAGGTCACTATAGTTGGAAGGAACTTTCCAGTCCCCAAATAGATAAGAATCCAAGCCTTAAAAAGGCCAGATATCTTCAATGCTGGCAATCCCCAAAGCTCCTTAGAGAGGGAAGAAAACATTCTCATTCCTGAGTTAGGGATGTTTTTACTACACAGTTTCTGCTAAACAGCTTGCTTTCAAGGAAACATGTACATATCTGCATGATATAGCTGATTTTTGTTTCTGGTCTAATTAGGCTTCTTGCGTATTATGTACTATTTGAGTGACCTTGCTGAGAACGTGTTGTGCTCTAAAAGTGAAAGTTTTTCACATTGTCGTAGAGTATACTTTCTCACTGATTTGAGTGTGTATACGTGTGTGTGTGTGTGTGTGAGAGAGAGAGGGTTTAATGAGGAATCATATAATGATTGAACCAGAAGGGGCTCCGTTTTGAGATCATTGTATAGATAAGGAAGCTTACTCTGAGGTTGGTAATAACTGCCTGCAGTTGCTGTGGTAGGTTAGGCTGTGAATGTCTGTGAATTCAGAATACCTAAACTGTGTGTCTATTCAGAAAAAGTATTTGATAGGAACTTTATTCTGTTGAGTTTCTGTATTAAAAAGCTCTTTGAAAAATATTCTATTTTCATGACTGTGCCAATAAGTTGAATTTTGAATGATGCAGATTTTGCTGTATTGAATTAATTGTCCATTTTTGGCAGTTTACTGAATCATTATGAACTATTTCCTTTTTTATTCCAAACTCTCTAAGGCTTCTTCTGTAGCACATATTTCTGTACAGAAATACTTTCAGCTATTTTTGCCCATGGTTCTTAGGGCAAGTTCTTTCTGAAGGTTTTGTTAGCATTCCCAGAGTGTTTTTGGTTTTAGGATTTTTTTATTGCCATGGTGCTATCTTCTCATCACTTGAAATTCTTCTGTCTAGACTGACCTGAGATGGTTCAGGTGTCTTAGGCTACACACTACAGGTGCACTTTAGGCACCCAAGTACTGCACACTTTATTTTGTGATGAATTGAACGTTTAGTGTTGTTTTAATTTTTGTACTTTATTGTTGTATTAGCTCACAGAGTTTCAGTTGTAGGTACTTTCTTAATGAAAAGTGAAGTGGGCTGGGCGCGGTGGCTCACACCTGTAATCCCAGCAATTTGGGAGGCAGAGGCGAGAGGATTACCTGAGCCCAGAGGTTCGAGACTAGCCTGGACAACTTGATAAGACCTCATCTCTACAATAAATCAAAAAATTAGCTGGATGTGGTGGTATGCACCTGTGGTTGCAGCTACTTGGAAGGCTGAGACGGAAGGATTACCTGAGCCTAGCTGGTCAAGGCTACTGTGGCTGTGAACGTGCCACTGCACTCTGGACTCCAGAAAAAAAAAAAATGTGAAGTAAAGTGAATGAAAGAAGCTTGTGAGGAGTTAATGTGTATTTTGACTTGCCTAGATAATGGAAGACTTGAGCTGCACCAAATAATAAATTTGAAAGTATATATTGCTGTGTGAGAAGTATTTATTTTTTTCTCAGATTGTAGCATAGTCTTAAATCACAATAAGGCATTTATCAATTTAAAATAAACTCATGAGTAATTAGTATTGTCCTCCTACCTCCCAGGACAATGTAGAAATTTAAAATATATGATATCTGCTGTATGGTTACTTAAGAGTGTGTTGGACATCTCAGTAGTACTAGTTAAGTATAAGTGCACTTAATTCATTTACTGGTCAGGGTCTCACTCTTCATCCAGGCTGGAGTGCAGTGACATGATCATGGCTCACCATAGCCTTGACCTTTTGGACTCAGACAATCCTTCGGCATCAGCCTCCCGAGTAGCTGGAACTACAGGCATGTGCCACCAAGCCCGCCTAATTTTTTGACTTTTTTTTTTGTAGAGACGAAGTCTCACTATGTTGCCTAGGCTGGTCTCAAACTCCTGGGTTCAGACGAGTTCTTCAGTCTCCCAAAGTGCTGAGATTACAGGCATGTGCCACTATGCCTGGCCTGTAAGTGCATTTGGATAGATAGTTTAATTTTTAAAACTGCAGTTGCTAATTATTGAGCTGTCAAATCTTTATGACAATTATATGGACCTATTTTAAAATGTAAGCTCTTGGCTTACATATTTTCGTTCCTCTTTTTTTATTTCATTATTCACAAATGAGGTTTTTAGTATGTAATTTTTAAAATTACTAATTGGGGTAAAATGTATATATAACAAACTGTTCTCGATTGAATGTGGACAATCTGATGAGTCTTTTCAGATTAATACACATGTAAAGATACTGTGATGGTCAAGATTGGAAAAATTCATAACACCCCAACAGTTGCCTCGCACCCTTTTATAAACATTTTCTGCTTCCAGCCTCAGATAACCACTGATGATTTTGTCATTTTAGAATAGTTTGCATTTCCTAGGATGTTATGTGAACAGCATGATAATACTGTATGTAATCTTTGGGGTCTGACTTCTTTTAGCAAATGATTTTGAGACCCATTTATGTTGTTTCATGTATCAGTAGTTCATCCTTTTTACTTCTGAGAAATGTTTCCACTGTATGGATATGCACATTTACAACTTTTTTGATCCTTTTAATTGTGATAGACCTTTGGATTGTTTCCAAGCCATTGGGCATTGTCAATAAAGGTGTTGTCAATATTGTTATACAAGTCTTTGTGTGGACACATTTATTTTTCCATTCTTTCAGATAAATACCTACCTGGGAGTGGAGTGGCAGGATCCTATGTATTTAGGGAGTTTTTGTTTTTTGTTTTTTTGGTTTTTTTGAGTTGGACTTTCACTCTGTCACCCAGACTGGAGTGCAGTGGCCACCCCCGGCCACCACAACCTCAACCTGCTGGGCTCCGGCGATCCTTCCACCTCAGCCTTCCAAGTAGCTGGAACTACAGGTGCGCACTACCATGCCCGGCTCATTTTGATTTATGGTAAAGATGAGGTCTCGCTAAGTTGCCCAGGCAGGTCTCAAACCCGCGGGCTCAGGCAATCCACTCATCTCAGCCTCCCAAAGGCACGGGATTACAGGCTGAGCCACAGAGCCTGGCTAGGGAGCTTTTTAAGACACTGTCAAGCAGGTTTCTAGAGAGTTCGTGACATCTTATATTCACATAAGTAGTGTATTGGAATTTTAATTCTTCAACATCCTCATCAAGACTTGATATTGTCAGTTCTTTTAACTTTAGCAATTCTAATGATGTGTAGTGATATCTCATTGAAGTTTTAATTTGAATTTTCTGACTGTTAACAGTGTTGAACATTTTTTCATGTCTTATTCTCCATTTGTGTATCTTTTTTTATGAAGCAGCTGTTTAAATCTTTTGCCTACTTTAAGAAATTGAGTTACTTGTCCTGTATAATTTTGTTGTATTAGTTTTTTTTTAATTCAGCATAGAAGTCCTTTGAGATATATATAGTGAATACTTCTACCCATACTTTGACTTTTTTCTTCTTAATGGTGTCTTTAATTTTGAAATGTCTAATAAGTCAGTTTTCTTTTATGGAAGTATCTCTGATTACTCCAAGGTTACAGAGATTATATGCTTTCTTTTAGAAGTTTTAATTCTTACAGTTAGATCTGTGTTTCATTTTGAAATAATTTTATATGTGCTATGAGTTAGAGAGTGAAAATTCATTTTTTTCCACACAGATACCAGTTGTTTGAGAAAAATTTGTTAAAAAAGACTTTTTTTTTCTTATTTAACTACCTTGACAACTTTGTTGAAAATCAGCTGCTTAGCCGGGCTCGGTAGCTCAGCCTGTAATCCCGTGCCTTTGGGAGGCTGAGGTGAGTGGATTGCATGAGCCCACGGGTTCGAGACCCGCCTGGGCACTCCAGTCTGGGCGACAGAGTGAGACTCCAACTCAAAAAAAAAAGAAAATCATCTGCTCGTATATGTTTGTGTCTTTTTCTAGAATCTGTTCTGTTTCAT